TTTTTTTTTTTTTTTTTGGCCAGCATGGAGAATATGTCTGAGACTTTCCAAGGTGAAGCTTATAAATTTATCGATAGTTTAAATATTGAGGCATGAATATAGTTTCTATCTATTGGAAGTGAATCTTAACCTTGTAAATGCATGGAATAAACTCTATGTCGTGGTCACATGATAAAGAGAAATAAGTTGAGAAACCATATTTATTTCATACTCAAAAGGCCAGGCTTTATTCTCTATACCATGCTGCCTTAAGTTATTAATACACAAGGTAGCAAAATTCCAGCCATTCTTCCCATGGCTTATGAAATCTTATTGTCCATTCACCTGGTTATTGCCATTGTCATCTCCCTCTTCATCCTTATTATGAACTGTCTAGTGGTTTATGCTTCATAGCTGGGACGTGTTCATAGACAGTATATTACATTATTGCTCTACTCAGCAATTTTATAATCTGAAACAGACAACAGTGAAGTGGGCCTACATGAGAAGAATGTGCAGAGAATAGAACGAGTTCAGGGAATTTTTTTCATTGGTAACATTTACCTTACTAATATTTCAGAGTTAAGTGAATTTTCAGGGCGAAGACCTCACTAAAGAAGAGTTAGAGTGGTCTCACACCCAAGAAAACTTGCGTTAGGCTGTGGACACTGTGTGGAGGTGACAGGATTAGATTTGCTATTTGATTGAGGCTTGATGAGAGTGTGTGATCCAGGCATATTCACATCTGCTCAGCCAATTGCTTAATTCTTCCGCATAGAGTAAATCCTTTTCTGCCCACCTGTCCTTACTTTTTTCCGACTTACTATTAATGCAACTTCTACTTCACCTTCCCGTCATGCACGGGTGATTTTTTTTCCTTAAAATTGATGTCACAATATCCTTTTGATCATTATAAACTTGTTTATAAAAGAATTTCACAAAGAATTCTAGGGGATAAGTATTGAGGCAGGATGAGGAATATTTTTTGAGAAGATCCCAGACTAAGGGTCCACCACGAATTCTCTTCCCCTTGGCATGCAGAAGGAATTCTTCATTCTTGACTCCTTTATTAGCCTATCCTATTTTATCCCAACTCACAGTAGCATTGCCATAGCTGTTATCCTAGGTATTTAATGTTCCTTCTTCGTGCACGTCTCACATTCCTCTCATACATTTCTCATCAAGCTGTCTTTCACCCCCTCCATCTGTTTCTGTAATGCTTGGTATGTGACTGTTGCTGTGTAATAATAGGCCCTAAGTCATGTGACTTTAATTTGTAAGGTCAGACACCATTTTTCCTGCAGAGAATTTCTTTTTGTCCTAAAGCTAACACTTTTGCCTCATTATGATACTGTTTCTGATAACCAAAGATAAAAACCAAACTTTAAAAAATCTGTCTTCACCTGTGTTTATATCTAAAATATATATATATATGTATACTGGACCTTTATCACCAAAGTCAACAACCCAATGAAAAGTTGGTCACATCAGGAATCCATAGGCTGGATTCTGATCCTGGTATTGTAATTGACTTGTCACAACACCAGTCCAGTTGTTTTAGCTCTCTGATCTTCAATTTATTCATCAGAAAATTGTCCTTCCTCTCTCCCTTGCCTCCCTCCTCCTTCTTCCCATCTTTCCCTCCTTTCTTCCTTTCTTTCCTCTTTCTTTCATTCTCTTCTCTTTCTTTCCTTTCTCTCTTCCTTCCCTCCTTCTTTTTTGATGGAGTGCAGGAAACTCTACCCCCAAAATATGGCACCTTGGCATGCTGAGTATTTTAAGCTGAAGGAAACAGAGAAAACTGCAGAAGCAGAAAGGTCTTTCTGACCTCTCTGAAGACCCTCATGTAACAGGTGTCCTGCTCTACATTCAGAAAGAAGGAATGTTCCACAGAAAGGCTAAGAAGAATCTAAAGAATCAGCCCTTGCTAACTGTCCTCCAGTTTAGCTTTAAGTCACACCCCGTTTTCGTCCAATCATGCCTCTACATTCATCATCAAACCTAAGCATGAAAATACAGTTTCCCCTTCATTTTTGTGTCTTCATTTTTGAATACTCCTGTGTCACATAAAACATGGATTAAATACATTTGTTATGCTTTTCCGTTGTTAATCTGTCTTTGGTTATAAGGGTATCAGCCATTAACCTTGTAATGGGTACAGCAAGATGTTTCTTTCTCTGCTCTATACTTTCTTTTTTTCTTTCTTCCCTTTCTTTCTCTTCCTTTATCCTCTCCTTTCTTCCTTCCTCCTCTTTTCCAACGTTTCTTCCTTTTCCTTTCTTCCCTTTAATTCACATTTACTAAACATCTCCTTCTCAAGGAGAGAACAACAAAAAAATACAAATTTTGTCAATTAAAAAGAAATTAATTATTTTAAATGAGACATTAAAATAACAACACAAGGCCATTGTAGTTAAATGAACAAATAAAAAGGAATAAAATTTGTATGCATTTGTAGCACTATATAAAACTATAATATTATTATTGTGGTAGAATGAAATTCCTGGAGAGACCAGATGATGTAGAGATTAAAAACTTGGGCTTTGAAATTATTAGAGAAACCTGAGTTTCAATTCTACTAGCTGAGTGACCACGAGCACATTACTTAAAGTTTCCAAGTCTAAGTTTCCTCAGCTGTGAAGCACAGCGTATTAATAAAAGTACATAACTCAAAGCGCTGTTGCAAACATTGAATGAGATTTTACATGTAAAATGCTAAGCACAAATGCCTAACATATAATAAATGCTAAATAATGATAGCTATTATTATTCTTATTGTTAGTAAGGCAGAGTAACTTGCACTGTTGTCATTTTTGTTATGTAAAATAATAATAGTAATCTCAGAGGAAGCAAAGGTTGTTGGGGGTTGAGGGAATCAGGACTTCTCCTGAGGACTGTCAATTTCCTCTAGAGAAAGGAATTCATGGAAGGAGAGATGAGACTCTGAGGTAGAGGCAGGACAGGGTAGTGGTTAAGACTTGTAGTTGTAAGCCTTGTACATGTTGATTGCTAACCTCTTCCTATCACCTTTTGAAGATCCTTTTATCAGTACTTTACTGAGTGTGTCCAGTATTACCTCTTAGTGTCCCTTGGCCAGAGCTTCCTCTTAGAAAAATCAGCTGATGGCTTGAAAGTTTCACTCTGTTTCCTTTATCTGTCAAAATCTTATTTATTCTGCATGGCCCAGTTTAAATATCAACTTTTCATGCAGCCTTTCTGGGCTGCCCTAAAATGCCATTCAGAACACCTACTATGTGTTTCCACTGCACTCTTAGCAATCAGTGAAGCACAACGGTGTTGAGAGAGTGGGCAAACCTCTCTGTGCAATAACAATAATAATCTGTCTCTTATATTAGGCTGTGAACTCTTTGAGGGGAGGAACTACACTGCATTCAGCTTTGGATCCTGTATCCCAGTCACTTGTACCTCCTACATTTTAAAATTAGACAAATGAAATTGCATTGTTCACATGAAATTGAATCCTATGAGGAAAAAAGTAATGGGTGTGATTTTCTATCTCTTTTAGGTCTGGTCAGAGCTGAGCTGGGAGTACACAACCAAGGAAAGGGCTCAAGTGCTCTGACTTCCAGCTCAAATCTCGATCTTTATTATAAGCTCCCTCTGGATCCCAGAGGCCCTCCATTTGAGTAGGTGGCCCTGGGTCCCTCAAAACTGAAGTTCAAGATAACCCACTTGCAATATTTGGATGAGTGCCTTGATGACATAGACTCTAGAGATCATGAGGCAATAAGAATATTTCACTTAGCTTATGTTTTGCCATGTGCTTATCAGGACATTCAGACGCTGGAGTTAGAAAAGAGTGTGGGACCTGTATTTGGCTAAACGCAATGAAGAAATTCCTTGGCTAAAAAGGAAAACAATTTTTCTTTTCTTAAAAATTTAAGTTGATGTAAAAAAAGAAATCTTTGCAGTGAAAGATAGAGTTTCATTTTCCTTTTCTGTCTGTCCTGGGAGCCTTATCTGATTTTAATCATTATTGGCCAGATATGATTTGAAACAGCTGAAGCTAAAATTCCCTGGAAAAAAAATTAGAAATCTCCAACTATTGCAGCTATCTGCCCACTCTACTTCCCTCCTCCAACGTAGCATGGGCTATCAAGTGTAAATGTTGAGGGTTATGAATTTTACCTTTAAAATACTTTAATGCCCTGCAGAGTTTTCTCAGCAATTTTCAAGTCTTGTTAGCCATAATACATCCAGTTCTTGATTATCCACAAAAAAGGGAAATGAATAGTGGCACAGATAATCCAAAACAGAAAAACAATCAAAACGTTTCTTATATTTTACTTTGGAATGCTTTGTATGGCTTTTGGGGGGTTGAGGTTTTCCTTCCAAGTGATGTTCTGCTCAGAAAAAAGTTAAAATGAGTTTGCATTCCCTAAGCCCACACTGGGGATGTGGCCCAGCCGCATGCTGGGTGGCAGGGAGAAGGCAGCCCGAAATCTAAGGGGAAAGAATTCCACTGATAATCTAAAAGTGGAAAATGCTCCTATGAATAATTAAGGGCTGACCAGAATGTAATTCAGTTTTATAAATTTGTGTGGCCATTCTTTTGGTCCACATTAAAAAAAAAAAAAAAGAAAAGAAAAGAAACTAGTTATCCTCTTCAGAAGAGTTAAAACTGGTATCAAAGAGAACTTTGGTATCAAAAACAAATGACCTCAGGGTTCTTGACTTCTCACAGCCCAATGGCACGGACACTGGCACTATGTGAAGGAGTCAGGATCTGCTGCTGGGGCCAAGGGGTCTCAATGCTCCAGCTCCACCCTACAACCTTCTTCAGCTGAACATGTATAGATTCATATAATGCCAGACTATGTTCTACTGTTCCATCTACCACGGTAGTTACAATTATCATTCATATTTTACAGATGAGAAAAGAAAGGTTCATACAGGTTCATTATGAATTTAAGTTCACAAAGCTAGTCACTGTGAGAAGCTAACTTTGCGCTCAAGACTATCTCACTCAGTTTGGATAACTAAATTGAGGGTCAGAAGTTGTGCTCGCTTCAGCAGCACATATACTAAAATTGGAACGATACAGAGAAGATTAGCATGGAAGATTATCAAATAGTAATTGTATATAGCTATAATCAGATCATATTTATTTGTGAATTTCTCTCCTTTTTTTTTTTTTTCCAGGCTTTAATATATGTAAGTCTCCTACAATAGAATAGGCTCCTTGAAGGCAAGCTAGGACATTTTTGCTTTCCATGTTTTCACCTGTTTTTATTTTTCTTTTATTTCTAATTCTAAATAGCGTCTAATATTGTTTCTAAGTAGAATAAATGTTCAGAATTTATGTCATGAAGGGATTTTTAACTTATATGTAAGTCTCATCATTACTCCCTGTGGGAATTTTGCCCGAGGAGGAAAACGACTGTGCTAAAACTGACATTGTCACGTACTGTGCTCACTATCTGGATAGCTAGATCATTCATACAACAAACCTCAGCGACACATAGCTCACCCATGTAACAAACCTGTACATGTATCCCTGACACTGAAATAAAGGTTGAAAAAATTAATAAAACCATTTATTATTTTTTTTTAAAAGAAGATTAGCATGGACCCTGCACAAGGATGACACGCAAATTCGTTAAGCGTTCCATATTAAAAAAAAATAAAGAGTCAGAAGTTAAGGGGTATCAAGCTTTTCGTTATTTGAATATTTTTCTAGTTTCCCCTCATTGTTCTTAGAAAGTAAATTCAATTAAACAAATATTTATGAGCTCCACTAAGCTGTTCATATGTATATATGTATAATATATACGTGTGTGTATGTGTGTGTATATATATCTCTATATCATGATATTGTGTTGCAAGAAAAAAATCTTATAATATTTAGATATAATCTCTGCCCTCAGGAGTTTTCTGTTTAAAATAGAAACCAGATTAATAGAACACAACAGAACAGAACAGAACAGAATAGAATGAGAAACCACAGGACTATAAAGTAAGGCAGAATGTGTCAGGTAGATATAAGAAATGGCAGGGCAGGGTCAAATCACATCAGGATGGGAACAAAAACCAAAAGATTTCAGAAATGCTAATGAATGAATGAATGCAAGTCAGTGGGTGATTTCAGTGTGCTGCGTATGATGTGAGTAAGGAACCAAGTACATACTGCTATTGAGATGGGCCTTAACAACTAGATACCATTTTGTTGAGAGCTCTGATGTGGATGGGATGGAATTCCAAGTGGCAGGAATACTTCTAGCAGGTAAAGTTAAGAGCACACCAGATATGTTCAGAGAACCTCAAGTTGATCTGAAAAGAGAATCTGCTGAAGGAGAAAAAAGTGTTAGCAAAAATGAGCACAGTAAAAACAAAAATGCAAAATCGCATCATAGTCTTGTCATAAAAAATCAGAGTTGGGGACAGAAATGAGATAGATAAGAGAAGAGAGAAGGAAACCATTTTTAAAAACCCTAATGTTTTTACATGTCTTAGAAAATTTAAATGCTCCTACCTAGTAATCTGGTATAAAACAATGGGCACATTTTTCAATAATTTTAGTGCTGGAAGGAAGGGAAAAGAATAGGTAACAAAAACAAACTTATTAGACCAAGGCCACCCTATTGCTCCACTGGATCCCTAAAAACTCAGGGGTCCCAACTCCTTCCCCAGTGATTGGCTGCTAGATAGGTCAGCTTTGCGGTATGACGTTAGCACCAAGGCCAAGCTTCTGGGAAGCCTTAGAGTAGCTTCTGGGAAGAAAGTAGGGATTCCAGGATGTTTACAAAATATAACTCAAGGATTATGTGTCTTCAATTAGTTCTGGAAGTTTCCACACTCATCTTAGCTAAATCACATTCCTTTTCCCTTGCAGACTTTCTTGTCTGTCCTTGATTTCTTCTTTGACATCTCCTCTTCCCCCATTATCTTTTACTCTATCAAACCTGACTTTACCCCCTGTATAAAAATGCAGAAGTCATAGTGGTTTACCCCTACGCACCCTTACCATTTGCTGAGTCTCTGTCTCCTTAAGTCTCTGGAGCCTTAGATATCTCTAGGCCCCAGTCTTGCTCCAATGAGCAATTTCACATCACTAGGGACATGACCTTTATGAAATTGGCCACGGTACTCTGGGTTCTCAACATACAATTCTATTTCTCTTCCATAGTGCATGCTGTGGGGCACCACTTTTTTGAGGACCAAGGCATTCCAGCTGTCAGGAATATTGGCTGCTAACCCCACACAGCTGAGCCTTCCATGAAAACTGCTCTCTGCCAAAGAGAACTTCCTAGTGCAAGGTCATGTCTACTCTCCAGAGGTAGTTCTTAAATAATGTCTGTCTAGACCCTTTGCCACAGTGTTAGACAATGTTATGAACAGCTATCAGAGTTCCAGAGTGCCACAGGGGATCTGGGTAGCCCTCTCTTGTGGATGCACCACTGTCCAGCTTCCCACTTTGCCCAGCCCTGCTTCCTTCACTCTCTCACGAGTATCTTTCCTAAGAGCACTCCTGATAACTCGCTGCATGCAAATCTCCACCTCAGAGTCAATTTCCCAGAGAACAGTCTTGTCACCCTCTATTTATTGTGGCTTTTATGTTGTTGCTGTAGTAACCTGTCTTGTAATGAAAAAAAAAAAAAAAAAACTGCAGTCTTTGAAGGGGTCAGAGATCAAGATTTTGGTAGCCTCTGTACAACAGAATTTATTGAGCCAGGCCTATCGCCTAGTCCAGCCATTTTCATACCTCTTGACCTTGAGTTAAGTAATGTATCATTCCTATGTACTGAATTCCTTTGGTTCAGATGGATAATAACTTATATGATGGAGTGATGGGGGATAAAAATGAACAGGTCGCTAAACATCCCTAAAAGACCATTATGTACTGTGAAAATACTTAAATTCTGTCATGAAGTCTCCAAAATCTTAGTCCCCATAGACTGAGATTCTACAGAGTCCACTTCCTTGGAGTTTTGAAAATACCCTTTGCTTCACTTTCTGTGGATTATGCAACCACAGAATTCCTCTGGGGACTCAGCCACACCCCAAATCTTAGCCTACATCACTGTGTTTGACACAGATTCATAAGAATTTGGCAAGCAGTTCACCTACATTTTTTTTATCAAATTGAATACAAATGTTGCCTAAGTTGGATGAAAGTTCGGTCAAGAGAAGGAGGCCCAGGCCAATGGACTGCGAAATAATGACATTCGAAACCCAAATGAGCTTGGCTTGGCTTTAAGATTAGGAGGAAAGCTTTGAACCACAGCATATAATATAAGCCCTGGTTTGACTCAAAACACGTTTTACTTTTTTTGGTGTTTCAGAAATGCACTGACCTTGCACTCTGCAGAATACTGTGCTCATTCCAAACGCTAAGGTCATTCCTAGGAAACTTCAGGCGCCTGTAGGGTCAGAGTAGAGTGGAAAAGCTGGTTCTTATCACCTGTTCCTTTAATTCCCTCTAGAACACAGCAAACCTCGACAAGATGGGGTAGGGTAGTAACATTTGAAAAAGACTGGAAGAACTACTGATTGAGGCTCCTGTGAAGAACCCAATCAGCAGTGGGCTTTGTGTTGTGGCTCTGATTGAATTCTCCCTCTTTATAGAGAAGGTATTGACGTCCTGGTTCCTGGATTAGTGGCTGTGAATAACTTATGCAGCACTGGATATAATTATAAAACAGAGAAAATTAGATTTTCCTGCTCACATAAAAATTTTTCTATCACAACTTCTTAAAGAATTATCCTTTTAATTTAAATTTGTATTAAGTTCAGGGTACACATGCAGGTTTGTTATATTGGTAAACTTGTGTCATGGGAGTTTGTTTACAGATTATTTCATAATTCAGGTAGTAAGCATTGTACCCAATTGTTATTTTGTTCTACCCCACTCCCCCCTCCCACCTTCCCCACTCAAGCGGGCCCCAATGTCTGCTGTTCTCTTCTTTGTGTTCATGAGTTTTCATCAAGAATTTAGCTGTCAGTTATAAGTGAGAACATGCAGTATTTGGTTTTCTGTTCCTGTGTTAGTTTTCTAGGGAATAATAGCCTCCGGCTCCATCCATGTTCCTGCAAAAGTTGTGATCTTGTTCTTAAATAATTATCCTTTTTTTTCTCCTTTTTCCCCTTCTCCTTTTCCTCTACCTCTCCTTCCTCCTAATCTTCTTCTTTTTTCCTCCCTCCTCCTCCTCTTCTCCCCACCCGCCTTCTTCCTCTTTTTTTCTCCCTAAGAAACTTCACACTCTCCAGTTTTCAGCCCTCATCTGCTACTCCTCCAAAATCCCCCACTACACCAGCACCCCACCCCAGGCAGACTTTCCCAAGCGGCCTCATTCTCTCTCCACCCCTACCCCACACAATCACCTTCACCCCAAACCCCTCCACACTGCTGCACCCCCCATCACCACAAGGACTCCTCTCTTATAGGTCTCGTCTCCTAAGGCCCTAGCTGCCTAGATAAACCAATATGTTAATACATATGGGAAAATCCATGATAAAACCAGTATTAATATGTAATATGTTGAAGTGTTGGCTTTGTCATTCACAGGCCACGTAACATTGGGCAAGCCATTTAGACTTTTTAAACTTCCATTTCTTCACCTCTAAGATACAGCTAAGAAAGACTCAACATACAGGGTCTCAGCTTACCTTTAACTTCCACTAAAAACATCTCTTGATCTTCCAAAATAAGATTAAATGCCCCTCCTCTATGTTCCTCTGTCATTCTCTCAATTCACTTATCATAAAGTTTGTCCCTTGCATCCTAATTCCCGGTATACTTCCTGCTTCTTACTAGGGTCTCCTGAGGGCAAGACGTATGGTCGATCCCCCTGGAAGTCCAGTGGCTAACACAACGTCTAGCACGTAGCTGGTACTCAAAATAAGGGCATTAAATGAGTGGGCCACCTCTGGAAGCATTTATAAAGAGTGGAAATTGTTTTTCCCAGATGGCATATTTATATTGGAACAGTGTCCTTTTTAGATCATGCCTTTGCTGGAGAAGAGACCATAATGGAAATATCAGGTGCAGGAAGATGTTTTGGTGTCACTCAAATAGCTCCATGTGGGTGGCCTCTTGCTCTCTCCAAACATCCAGCTGGCTCTGGGCCCATGCACCTGAAGGGAGATATCTGAGACTCGAAACACTTCCTGCTTCATTTCAGTGACACCAGTTTGGCTCAGTTTTCACCTCCAAGCTGGGATCAAATGTTCCCCAAGTGCAGAGAGTTAAGGAGAGATGTCTCTCTCTCCCTTGACCTCCTCCCTTATTCCCATCTTATGCTTTTCATAAAACTTTATTAAACTAGACTCCCAGAGAGAAGCCCTGTCCTTTGGTTAGGCCAGCAGCCTCCCCATCTGTGGGCTCTGGCACTTCTCTAAAAAGCTCAAAATAGGGATAGAAAGTTCTGATGAGGTGCTTGAGCATTTACATTATGGGGAGAAGAGATAAAGAGGGAACACGGCGGGTGTGGAATGTGTGAGACTCCATGTTCACAGGGAAAAGTTATGTGTAGAAAACCTGCCACTGCTAATGAACCCAGTAAGAGGACAGGAAGGAAAGGGATTATTTCTGTTATGCCTTTTGGGAGACAAGTTTCCATGTATCTTACATTTTTACATCTGGCAGGTGCTGACAGTCCTTGTGCTGGGCTCTCTTTTTAAGGATGTTTCCATAGTGGAAACATACATGGAAAAATGGAGCTGGGCTGGAGCATAGGGAAGGTGCACTTAGGGTTCATTATACAAGATTTGGGTTTTCTATACTCAGGGCTTCTCTCTCACAAGCCACCCCACAATGTGTTCAGGTATCATCTGGTTATTTTCACATTGTTCTGTGGGAATCGGGGCTTGGAGAGTCAAAATGAATATGCTGATACTCATATTGCTTGCTGTGCTGTGAGTAAAGTCCTTTGTCTCAGGCCCAGGAATCTTGTGTCTTCTGCCAGCATCCATGAATCTGTCAGTCTATCTTGTGAGCTTAAACGTAGTATGAAGTTTCAGGCCCTTCACAGTTTTTGACCAAACTCTGTTCTTTCTGCCTAAAGGCAGCATATGAAAGAGTTCTGCCTTTATAGATTTATGCGAGCCCTGACTCCTATGAGAAAAGGGGAAGAGAGAAGAGAGAGAAAGAGCACATATTTATTGAATGTCCTCTGTTTGCCAAACCATGTTGGGCTGAGCTGAGATTCTCATACATTATCTCATTTAATCCTCATAACACCCTAGGAGTAGATATCATCCTACCCTTTTCACAGATGAGGGCATGAAAGGGTCCCAATAAAGTGAAGTGACTTGCCAAGATCACTCACAGAATGTGGGGTTTAAATCTAAGCCCATCTCTTAAGAGAGCTACTGGTCTTTCTGTTATATCATTCTAGGAAGTCTTTTTTTTCTGTGTATTGAATAAATGGCCAATCCAAGAACAAGAGAGATGCTAGCAAGTCTAAAATCATTTCCCTAACCGCTCTGTTATTTGTTCTATGATTTTTCCCAGCTCCATCCCTGACATAATCCTCAGCTTAATGAGCACTATTTTTATTTTTGTAGTCTTTTGCCTTTCCTTTTCTAGGACCCCAGCCTCCAGCCAATGTTACTCCTTTTGCTTAGCCTTGGACTTCTTGACTCCTGCTATTGCTCTGGGATTTTTTATTTTTTATTTTCGTCTACTCAGAAAGAGAGATGTGAAGCCCTTTCTCTGATATCACCATAGAATGAATAACACTGTCCAAACTTACAGTTTTAAAGAATCTTGTTTGGCTTTCAGATGTGACTGGAGTGACTTGCACCCAGATGCCTAGACTCACCATCTGCTCAAAGATTGCTCAGAAAGTCCTCCCATGCATTCCCTTGCTGCATACCAGCCCACTCTGCCTGCAGCTGCTGTCTGCAGGACTTCATATCTGCCCCACACTGTTTAAAAGCTGTGCTTCAAGAAATCGCAAGAACATTTGCCTGCACCTACTACACTGCCTAAATGTGGCATAAGTTGACCTTGCTTTCTGAGAAATGGGGCAAGAAATGCTTTGTGTGTGTGTGTTGTGTCTGTTTGTGTTTTAGTTAAGAGAGAAAAGCATTAGGCAGATGGAATGTACATGTGAGGATGAGGAGACAGAGAAGAAGTAGCCCTTTCCATCAAGATAGAGGGTTTTCTGGGGTGCTGGGTCTTGAGTTCACTCCTGATTCTTCTTTCTTAGGCACTGTACCACCAGCCTACTGAGGTTGTGTGGGCGCTTTCATGGGGGTTGTATTTCACTAATGAAAATAAATTTGGTGCACAATCTGAATGTTTATGTTTCTTTATAGAATAGACTTAGTTTAGCAATAATCTAATAATACTGATGTAACTCTGATTCTCTAGGGTAAAAATGAAAAAATTTGCTACCCCATTTTTCATTCCTGCAACATCTTCCAAGTACTCACAACAAGAACGAACCAATAGCAACACTTACTGCACTGCCTAGACTCAGTGTAAGCAAATTTTGAAATAAAAAGAAAAGCATGATGGGACATTTTTATGGTTTGAACATTTATCTCCTCTAAAAGTCATGTTGAAATTTATTCTCCAGTGTAGTAGTATTGAAAGGTGGGGCCCTTAAGAGGTGATTGCGTCTTAAGGGTTCTACCCTTATGAATGAATTAATCTATTCATGAATTAATGGGTTATTGGTGTTAGATATAGTGAACCCAAAGTTTCTCTTCAAAGAATCAGTACGTCGGTATGTTCAGCTCTCTTATTCTTTAATTCTCTATTTTAAAGTTTTACTTCCTTGTAGTTTCAGTAAACAACATTTTCCACCAGTTCTAATCAGAGCTCACATCTGTTCCCTCAGTCCCCTGCCCCATCCTGACTCATCCCAGCCACCTGCTCTAGTCACCTGCTCTGGTCACCTGCATTGACCCCTGCTTACCTGCTCTGACCTGCCTGAAACTGTCCTTCCAGCCAAATTAGCCACCACACCAGTTGGGCTCGTACCCCTGCTCCCCTTAAAGTAGCCAACTGGAATTATACTAGACTGTGCAGTCTCACCCTAGCCAGCAGGGGAATGACACAGCAGTAGGGGTGACTTCCGTCAAGCATAAGTACCTCTTCCCCTCCTGGTCCAGGTGTGCACTTGTCATGTTCCATCTGTGAGCTGCAGCCTTCTGTAGAAGTAAATTGCTTTGCTGAGGAAATTTATATTCGAGTGCTACTTCTTTTGCAGCATTAAAATTCTACTTGTAACAGTGGATTAATGGATGAATGGGTTATCATGAGAGTGGGATTGGTGGCTTTACAAAAGAAGAAGAGAGGCCTGAGCTAGCACACTCAGCCCCCTTGCCATGTAATGTCCAGCACCACCTCAGGACTCTGCAGGGTCACCTCCAGGAAGAAGGTCCTCACTAGATGTGGTCCCCTGACCTTGGATTTAGCCTCCAGAGCTGTAAGAAATAAATTTCTTTTCTTTATAAATTGCCCAGTTTTAAGTTTTCTGTTACAAGCAACAGAAAATGGACTAAGATACACATAGATCATTCTTTATGCGGTGCATAACCAATTTGTAGAGAAAGACAATGATTCATGTAAAGGAAATAACCTACATCAGATGGCAGGTGAAAAGGTACATGTGAGCAGGACAAAGTGCTGCAGAAGTTGTGAAAAAGGTATCATTAGTCTCCTAGTTACCAAGACTCTAAATTGTGAAGTTATCTTCAAACCCCAAACTTAAATCACTCTCACGCAGGCTCCTTCCAAATGCCTCTTGCAGCCTCCTCTTTCTCTGTTCCGTGCCTAATGGCATCACCTTACTTTAAGTCTTTATCAATTTATATTTAAATTGTTAAAACTTTTTACCTGTCTCCTTGCCGCTGGCCACTCCCCACTTCAACTCATGTGGAGCACAAATTAAACTTCCAAAAGCACCACTTTGATCCTTTTCCTTACCTATTCAAACACTTTCCTGGATGCTAATTTCCAGCTGAAATAAAGTCAAAACTTGAGGATTGGCATGAAGAAAGGATCCAGGCTTAAGCTGATCTGGGCTTAGTCCTAGGATGGTAACAGTGGGAAAAAAGAGGGAAAAAATGAGCAAGTCCAACAAGACTTGACAGTTGGAATACAGGAGCTGAGAGAAGGTAGCATTACCAAGAATTATGGCTTGAACCTAGGGGACTGGAAGATGAGCAAAAGGCAAAAATAGAGAAGTGCACATTTAGATGTGTGGAGGTGAAAAGACTCAGGGCTTTCCCAATATCACCTACTGAGTATGGACTTAGAGGGACATACAAAGGGCACCATAAATGCTTGTTGAACAAATAAACAAAAGAATGAATGAATAACACTTCTATTTGCATAATGTCCATTGTTTCATTTTATCTTTAGAACAACCTTAGTTGGAGGTTCTTATTATTATCACAATTTTACTGATGTCTTAACCAAGACTCAGAGAGGTTATGTAATTCTCCCAATATCCCCCAGTAAATGAGAGGCAGTGCTGAGATGTGGCAGCCCATCCAGCACGCTGCCCTCTGGAAGCATCTAATTGTGCAGCATCTGGAGAAATGGAGCTGTGGGACACATTTGCCAAAGGTGTTTGTTTCTCATCAAAGCTGGGGGAGACAGAGGAACATTGCAGAGGACAAAAAAGTGGACATTCTGGACCTCAGTTTTAGAGATAGAGGAACCAGAACACTTGAAGGCAACAGAAGAGAAGATCTAATAGAAGAAGAATCATGGAACAAAGAGAGAAAGGAGATGTGTCAGTAAACATGTGATTAACAACATGAAAAGCTACAGAAATAGTCTCAACGAGAACAGTGAGGCAGTCTGGTTTGAATGGAGGAAAAAGCCTAGACCACAGCAGATAGCCGGTGTTATAATCATCCTTCTGTTTGAAGCTTGAGCACAGAGGGGAGAAAAAATAACAACTTTTTTTCACTTATTGCAAGGGACATGGTGGACACTCCTACAATAAAAGACAGGTTAGCAAGATAAAAGCTTAACAAATTTATTTTAAAAGTTTTATGTGACTCAGGAGGCTTTAGAAGTAAAAAACCCAAAGACTCAGGGAAAGCTGTATTTTTATGGTAAGTCTGGTGAAAGAAGTGCAAAGAAATGTGATTGGACTACATGAAGGCACAGGGCCTAAGGGTGATAAACGGTGTGGGGCGGGAGCGTGTCGCTCAGCAAGACGTATTTGTTCAGACTCTTCTTGGCCTCTCTGTGTAGCATTTCTTTCCTCCAGGTATAGGGCAGGTCATCTCTCACATGAGGGGCTTCTGATCTACCTGCAGGAAAGGTAAAACAGAGAATTCCTTTATGTTTGGCTCTCACACAGAAATGTGGGGGAAAGTCAGTGACCTTGCTTCCTAGGTCCTCTCAATCTTCTTCAGCTCAAAGGGCTTTGGGATAATGTTTTCTGAGCCCCAACAAGCAAGCTGCCTAAATGACTTGAAATTTATTATTTGTATTTATCACATGGCGATAAAATCCATTTGGCAAGATTAAATGTGATAATGCTGTCATATAGCACATAGCATCTGACGGTTATAAAGCAACAGCCTGAACACTCAATGCATACCATTTCATTTAATCCATACAACTCTGTTGAGTGAGTTTTGTTGGAGTCAGCTTGTTTGCAGATGAGGAGACACAGGTTCAGAGAGTTTAAGTAATTTACCTAAGGTCACACAGCTTGTGAGTGGCAGGGCTGGAATTTAAACCCAACCATTCTGCTCCCAGAAGCTGTGTTCTTCATCATCATGCTATACCAAATTATGTTGAACAAATTATCCATAAATATTATTGCCTTCCTCTCAAGAACATGTGAGCTATATTAGGCTTTTAAAACTAGGAAGATCATAAATATTTAAACCAGAGGTGAACAAACAATAGCCCATAGTCAAAATCTGGCCTACCACCTGTTTTTTTGTATGACCTGCAAGCTAAGAATGGTTTTCACAATTTTTAATGATCTAGAAAAAATTAAAAATAATATTTTGAGACATATGAAACTTATAGTGAAATTCAAATTTTATTGTCCATAAAGTTTTATTGAAACACGAACATTCATATTTTACATATTATTTAGGCCATTTTTGCCCCATAAGAGCAAAATTGAATACTTGAAATGGAACTACAAAGTCTAAAATATTTAATATCTGGACCTTTACAGAAAAACTTTGCCAACCTCCTGATATAATTGCCAACCTCCTGATATAACCAAAAACTTTCTTTGGCTAATAAAAGAGGAGCGATTTAAGGGCTTGAATTTCTCAGGAAATTCTTCATCCCTCCTCGTGCCCCATCCTCTCATATTCTCCATGGGCTGCACACGCACCTGCACTTCATCAGTGAATGGTCATGGTCATGGGGAGGAAAGAAATCCTGAGAGCATAGTTTGTTGTATTTCTTGGGTGGAGAAAGAAGGCGGAAGGAGGCTTGCTGGGTAGGGTGAAGGTGAGGCTTTCTTCTCAGTCCTGAATTACAGCCAGATGAGTTTATCCCTGTTTCATCTCCAGAATTATAACTTTTAACGAGCATGAAAGTGCGGGAGCTCAGCAGTCAGTGAGGGAGACACAATGGCCAAGTCACATCACAGGTGTCTTCTCTCTGGGGCTGGTCTGTGATCAGCAATGCAACCAGTTCAGCCCCCTTCCCGGTGTCTATTTACTTTCTCAGGTTTATGGTGACAAATTCACTGGGAAATGGCAAAGCCTCTGTGGGGTTGTGGGGGAGTTTGGACAGAGCCAGGAGCCAGTTGCCAGTCACTTGGGTTCTGTGTGGAGCTTTGTCACCGACCCTCCAGCGTGTTGGTGGCAAGTCAATTGCTCTCTTTCTGCCTTACTTAGCATAATTAACTGAAGTAAGATAGTTTACCACAGTCAGTGTGTTCAGGCATCCAGCCTATAAGATAATAAGCAAGCAATAGAATGACAACAGCAAGTATGTGTGTGCTTGTTTGTTTTTAAAAAACTTTTCTAAAATTGTGGCAAAATACACATAAAATTTACCGTTTTGACCATCTTTAAGTGTACAGGTCTGCAGCACTAAGTATATTCACAGTGTTGTGAAATCATCCATCTCCAAGGCCATTTCATCTTGCAAAACTGAAACTCCATACAGATTAAACATTCCCAATCACCTTCTCCTTCCAGTCTCCGGAACCATCTTTCTGCTTTCTGTCTCTGTGAATTTGACTACTTTAGCTACCTCATATAAATGGAATCATACAGTATTTGTCATTTTGTGACTGGCTCATACCGCTTAGTATGTCATTGACATTCATCCATGTTGTAACATGTATCA